CTCTCTCTCTCTCTCTCTCTCTCTCTCTCTCTCTCTCTCTCTCTCTTTCTCTCTGCACTCTTTCTTTTTCTCCCCCTTTCCTCTTCCCTCCCTCCCTCACCCCCCCCTCTATCTTGTTCACATCCTCTGCGCTCGTCTGCTTGCAGCTGATGCTGTGCGGCATGCAGGACTTTGACATCGACGACTGGCAGCGCAGCACCATCTACCGTCACTACACGCGCACGAGCAAGCAGATCGTCTGGTTCTGGCAGTACGTGCGCGAGCTCGACAACGAGAAGCGCGCGCGTCTGCTGCAGTTCGTCACCGGCACGTGCCGCGTGCCTGTCGGTGGATTCGCCGAGCTTATGGGTAAGCGTGACCGCCCCGCGCGCGCGCGCTCGGACGCGGCTGGGGCGTGGAGGCGTGAGGTCCGCCGTGTCCAGGTGGCACGTGTGATGTCAGCAGGGTAAAAAATGGAGCGATGAGCGATTCGCTCTTCAAACCTCCGAAATTGCTCCCGTGAGGCTCAAAATAGCTCCCGTAAAAATTTTTTACGAAAGCTATTTTTCCCACAGACTTGAAAAAAAGCTCCTATGAAAAAAAAAGAATTTTTTTCCCTGGATGTCAGGCTATGCACGGTTGTCTCGCGGCGTTTACTGCTGCTGTCTTCATGCAAGGCATGGTATCCTGTTTGTTAGGGCTGCAGGGAGAGAAACGCTCAGGTTCACATTTATGTAGATGAGCTTTTTCTACTGCCTTAACTTGAAGGTAAAATTGGGCAAGGTATAGCTCGTGTCATGTAGCCTCCCTCGCCACAGAGCCACAGCATTGTCATCGTAACATTAGGCATAATAACAATATCCACTGCCGACATGGTCACACCTTGTTAGTATACTAACACAAACGAGTAATGAGTAAGTATGGACCTGCTCAATGTAAGGAAGAAGGAGGGGGAATAGAAGCGGGTATGACAGAAGGCAAGTTCGAAGGAAATTACAGGTGAACGGTCTTGGAAGAAACTGTTAGGTTGGCATACCGGCATAGCTAGTGTTCGAGCTAACTCGTCCTTTGCACCTTGCAGGAAGTAACGGCCCGCAGAAGTTCTGCATCGAGAAGGTGGGGAAGGAGACGTGGCTTCCTCGCAGCCACACGTGCTTCAACCGCCTCGACCTGCCACCCTACAAGAGCTACGAGCAGCTGAAGGAGAAGCTCAACTTTGCGATCGAGGAAACAGAGGGCTTCTATCAGGAATAGAGTGCAAATAGTTGGTCTCTAACGAGTAAACGACGTGCAACAACGACGCACGTCATTACAAAGCCCCGTGATTGGGGAATGTGTGGGGGGGGGGCGTTATGGGAAATGTGTGGTGGTCATAGAGGGGGGGGGGGCATTGTGTATGCTGTTTCGACATGGAGGTGTGGAACATGAGTTGGGTGACTTGCTACTGGTTGTGACCCTAAGTGCTAAAGCATCCTCATCGTCCCTCAATACCCCGTTCTGTACCTGGATGTATCTCGATGCTAATTACTTTCTACCACTCCTCAATATTGTCCTATTGAATACTAGTTTCCCACCCTCTGTCATCATTCCTGAGTATCTTCTCCTGCCCCTCTAAACATATCTTAATTCCACTTACTCTGCCTGACTCAACATTTTCCCAATGTCATATTTCCCAGCATTCCTGCATCATCCTGCAGTATCCTGTCCTGCCAGTCTAGACATATCTTAATTCTTAATGCTTTCAATTGCCTTCAGTGTCATTGGTGGCCCTCCTGCTAGGTCTGTAGTCCCCAGCATACTCCCCTCGTTAGCCTGCACCCTATGATTTAACATCAGTTCAGGTGTGATATGCTATATGACATATGCTACTTTCAGCAGTTTGAATGTGTGACTAACGAATATATACATATATATCCCCGTGAAGAATTATATCAGATCGAATTTATTGATCGAAGATCAGACGATTTGCAAATGCGATCAATATATCGTAGTTGTGGTATTCAGAACGTGAGTATATAGTCAATGTTGGCAGGCGCGAAGTACAGTCAATGTATTTTTGTCACGTTTACTCGTAAGCTTGTGCAGTGTTGCTCGCTACGTAAAACAGGTGGTTATGGTGGATGAATATAGTGGATGAATTACAAACAGAGAGGGGGAACCTCAATCATAACAATGTGCAAACCATATTGTAGCTTCACTGGGTTCTGTTAACAATAATAGCTAGGAACCTGGGACTAGACGAAGAGAGAAGTATGTAGGTAGGTAATTGTAGTCATTCAATTCTTGTTTTTGCTCTCTTCCCTATCTCATCAGGCGATGTGTTGATTTAAACTGTGGAAGCCCTGTCAAATCATAATAACATAATTTCAGAATTATTATTCTTAAATTAGTGCTCTACTGGAAATCTGCCGTATCTGTTGTTTTCTGATATACTCGGTTGTATATCACTAGTGTTGCTTGATTTTGAGATAATCATAGAGAAATAATTTTGCAACCATGAGCTGCTTCGTAGAGCCTTTTATCCTGTGTTAGTGAATTCCTTCGAGAAACCAGTATCAGGCTCTGTTGAAGTCGGTGTACACTCGTATGTTTGTCGTTGCTTGCGTGAGAAATGTGTAAATTTTGTAAACAGCCACGAAGGATGAAAGTATGTAAGCGAGCATGAAAGTGTGTGAGAGAGAGGGAGGGAGAGAGATGGAGAGATAGAGAGATAGAGAGGGGGTGACTCATTGATAGACGACGGTTTACTCTTGGAGTAAATAAGGCGAATATCGGTTTAGCACACCTCGGTTGTATACGTTTTTTAATCGCTTTGGCCTAGGTGATAGGCGGCTGTTAAAAATGTCTAGGCAGTGATTTTATTGATTTATATAGGACAGCTAAATTCTAAGAAGCCAATATTATTTGTTCCAGACCTATAGTAGACAAGCACGTATACGCTGAAAATTGTGGCCACCCGATATAATGGAAGGCCCTGAATTAGGGTTGATGTTGATTACTGTACATGATTTATCTCCCCCTAAGATGGAATTGAAAAATTATGGGTTATTGTTTGTGGAGTGAAAGCATATTTCATCATAACTGTGATTTGTGCTAATAGCAATGGACAGTTGTATGTAATGGTATGCATCTAAATTGATATGAATAAAGTATTTATGATCACTTAAACATGCACATCTTCCAATCACTAACATTGTTATTTGGACATTTCTTTCTAGATAACATATATACAGTAAAAAAAACCACACAAATGTAATTTTATTGCAAGTTTTTATTCTTTTTTACATTTTTACATAAACATTTTAAAATATTTCGCGAATCGTATTTTGTAAACGTGATGCCACAGACAATGGCAACAGGAGGGCACTTCAAAGTAACGGTGCTTTCCTCTATGTTTGCACTTTGGAACAACGCAAGAAGTGCGCAAGTGTTTTTGCCGATTACGGGAAGAAACTGATAACTTAGAAAGAGATAACTTATTGAAGGGATGGGAACCTTGTAAATCACGACATCAAAATAATTGCAACTGAATGAAATATACCCATCAAATAACATCTCCACAAATGACCTTTCCGTCCTGTCTTGGAAGGGGAATGGTGTACGCAGAAAAACTACACAACCGTGCTGTCACCTAGTGAGCTAATATGAGGAAAACAATTGAATTCCCTGTTGGTATATAGGCTTGAGACAACCTAACAATGCTACACTGTTGTCTGGTTGCCTTAGTTAAGTCTTTCAGGGTAGGTTGTAGCTGTGCTATTGCGTATGCGTGAGTGAGGTACGGGCCCTGTCTCGTGGAGAGGCAGGTTTTTGACTTTTTGACTTTTGCATGTTTTTTAAAACAACACATCTCCTAAAAACATTTCAAACACAGAAAAACGTTTTAAATACCGATATCTCACAAACAATAAGTAGCGCCAAACGAAACTATGACTACGTGCACATCCCGATCATCACTAAAGTCACAGGCACTCACTCACGCACATGCACGCTCACACGCGCACGCACGCACACACACACACACACACACGGTATATACATGTGTAGAGTATAGTCTACCAGCTCGCTCCCACACATCGTCACCCGTACGTCAACAACGGTATAACGGTTAGCGAACACACACACTGTGCACAGACCCACCCGCGTTCGCGTGGTTAGTATGCAGGTGCTTTACAGTAACACTTCATATACTCACAATATACTACTACAATCACGTTCTTGGCACTAAACACTATCATCTAAAATGTCGATAAACGTCCCAAAATATAGGAAGGGGGGGGGTGCAAACCTGCCTGCTTTAACGACAGACCTGTCAAAGTATTACACATCCCACGTACATCTGCAAAGCTGTTCATTACACAACTAATTTGCAAGGAGGTTGGCTCAATACGGCATTACCAGTGTAGACCATCCTGCAACTAACTGCAAATTCGTTTTGATTAGTTTATGATCCCAAAGTCTTTCTCGGGAGGGCGGGGGGTTAAATATAAGCACAAACAATGCGACTACTCGGCGGTCAACTAGTAAAATCGGCCCCTGCATCCTCTCAGTTTTACCGAGAATAAAAGCTGTTATAGGCGAATTAAAGCAAACCTGTCTAAGGCAAAAATTAAAAACACAAATCACCGAGGTAAGAAAAATACCACGTAAGGGTGGGGGCACTGTAGACGTGGGCACAAACTGTGCTTACTAACAGAATCATCGTTCGTGGCGAACGCAGAACGATAATAACATAATGACAATAATTGCCGGCCCTTCCACGCGAACGACTTCTGCTAATACCCACTTTGCTAAATATTTGGCACATGATATGCAGCGCAAACTACCGACAGTGACTAAACGAAGCGGCGCCGGGCCGGGACGCGACCTACGTTGGGCGAGTGTCCCTACAGGAGTGACCTCGACTCACGTCACACGCATACTGCTGCGCGTCTCACTACAACGCAATCACTACAAAATAGCTCGGCGCGGGGTCACGACAGCGAACGAAGGTGATTTATCACAACCGACTGTACACGACGGCTCGTGCGTAACGACGCGAGCCGCCCGATGAGGAGTGCACACACAATCGCCGGCGTGCGGCGCCCCCCGACGGCCCCAACCTCGCTTTCCAACACAGCGGACGCATCTCCGCCATCACAGTGTCTTAGCGAGACGTGCTGAATGATGAATGACGTCGATGAAAGTCCGAAGCTAAAGCCAGTCCGGCGTAGGCTAGTCCGAGGTGGAACCGACCGGGCGCAAGTTAGCCGTCCGCCCCGAACCAGTCACGGCAGTAGGCTAGTCAGGTCGATCGACGGGTGCACGAGAGCCAGTCCGGCGTACCAGCTAGTCATGATGATGCGACACGGCGCACGAAGCCAGTCCGGGACGTGGCTAGTCAGGTGGAACGACGGGGCGCCACGCAAAGCAGTCCGGCGTACGGTCTAGTTCAGGTGATCGCGACGGGCCGCACAAGACCAGTACCGGCGTAGGCCTATCAAGGTGAACGACGGGCGCACAAAGCCAGTCCGGCGTAGGCTAGTCAGGTGAACGACGGGCGCACAAAGCCAGTCCGGCGTAGGCTAGTCAGGTGATCAACGCGGCGTGCCGAAAGCCAGCCGCGCGTAGGCTAGTCAGGTGATCGATGGGCACACGAAGCCAGTCCGGTGTAGGCTAGTCAGGTCATTCACGTCTTGGCATTACGTGGTAGTCAATGAGGTGATGTGGCATCGCATGTCCAGTGACTTTGGTCAGCTCTTGTCACGTGACCGTCACTCGACGACACCTCTTTGCACGAGTCCGCGCTTGCATTGCGCGCAGAGGCGGGGGGGACAAACCCACGACACTCACAGTGCGCGGAGCGCACGTGACGAGAGCGTATGGACCTTGAAATGCCGCTAGCAGATACTCCAATAGCATGAATAGCCAGCACAGGTGAAAAGCGATTGTCGACTTTACTCTGGAACATTCGGATGCTGCAGAGGGGGGCGAAAGGCTCACAAGCCGGTCGACGAGGCAGTGGTCAGGCGCGAGGGCTTCGCTCGGTTTGCCACCGGCTAAGCTCGGGAGACTAGGCGAGAACGAAATCGAGGATGGTATAGGTGTCTAGATTGACGCGAGAACCAAGAACGAGTACGGTGGCCGTAAGTTACAAAGAGGGGGAACGGGCAACATACCCTGAGCCACAACCAGGAAAGCCACTGGACGGGAATGGGTCTGGTGCCACTGAAGATAAGCACATGATGGGGATATGAGAGAACACGACAGCACTGGAACCCGCAGTACGGAGCTGAACAGTAGGAACGAAGAGAGAAAGTGAGGGAACGGTGACGAAGGAGAAGCTGGCGCGGCGGCGAAGACAGAGACCGGGAAAAAGAGCACCAGCGAGCCGGCAAAGCCCTATAAGGTGGCAGTAAAATAGGACAGGGACTAAAGCAGGGATCGCAAGGGATTGAACTAAAAGAAATGAAGAACGAAGAGGAACGAAGAAGCAGCGCTAGGAACCATACGAGAGAACGAGCGAAAAAGCAGACCGTGATGGCACACCAGGTGGGGAGAGGAGATATGAAAGAACGCGAGTACCGCACCACCCACGATTCGATCGCTTTTCGTTAGTGTTTTAGTTAAGCTCACAGAAAGTTTTTTCAGCAACCTCGCCGCTTTCCCCGCCCACGACTCACCTTGCTTAGTGATCTCCTCCATGCTCAGTTCCTTACAGTCGCCGCCGCGAACACCCGGTGGCACCCTGCCTGGCCGCAGTTGTAGCAGGTCGGCGTCTTTCCCTTGAAGCCCTGCTGCGCACAATTACCTCCTCCTCCTCCTCCTCCTCCTCCTCCTCCTCCGTCCTCACCTCCTCCTCCTCCATTGCCGGCCGCCCAACGAGAACCACGCCTGCTGCTGTCATGGTAGACCAGAGGCAATGTTGGGAGCGCTCTGTTGCTTGACGAGTGACGGCGCGTGCTGCGCGCTGGCCATACCCAGATTGTGCGGGGCAGTGTACAGTAACATCTCCGGCGTGAGGCGCGTTCGCGGGAGACAAACCCGTGCGGGAACGCGGGCAGCGCGTGCACGAAGCCGCCGGTTTGCTGCCGTGCGGCGGCATGAACGGGAAGCTCGCGAAGATGGTGCCGTTCACCTGCGCCGCCGGTGGGAAGAATCCATGTTGTACAGCTAACGACCGCTGTAGCCGTTCCCGCGCACGCCAATCGCCAGCCACGACGACCCACCGCAGCAGAGGTCGACACGTGATGCTGCACCAACGGACCTTGAATCGAAGCCGCCGACGTCGGAGGCGATCTCAGCAGTGCCGGCCGGGTATGGGGCAGATAACGGGCGCGGCGTGTCACTACGGCGGCGGCGGCGGGTGCAGCAGGTATCGAGAGAGCGAGGCATATGGATAACAACGAGGAAATCGACTGACGAGCTCGACGGCGTCGCTTCCAGACGAGAGGCTGGAGAGCGAGGCGACAGCGGCAGGTACATCATCGGGCGGGGCGTGTGGCTACTACGCAGTTGGGTTCCAGGGGCAGGGCAGGGACCGACGGTGGGCTTGGAGGGTGTCGTGAAGACAAGGACGAGGTCGGGCGAATGAAGAAGGGTGAGGGGAGTACTGTCGCCATGCCGAGGGAGCTGCGGTGGCACGGCCTGTTCTGGCTCGCTGGCAGGTTCGGCGGAGGGAGAGTCGTTCAGGATGCGCTGGCACCTGTACGTGTATTCAGGGTTTCTGCTGAGTCGAAGTGCGGTCGAGGTGGACAAGACGGAGAATTTGAGCGGGCATGATTTCGGCGGGCGGACGCTTGAGGGCCTTCTTGGGGCGATGTGCGGGGCGGCTGGATGGGCGGGTGCGAGTGGGCAGAGGTGGAGGTGGAGTAGATGACGGAGATAGGAGGAGACCTGCTGAATCTGTCGAACGTCAAGTTGTCAGCAGGGGACAGGCATGGGGCGGAACTGCATGTTCGGGCCAACTGCGGCATGGCGCGAGCGAGAGACTGACGGCTGGTGGCTCCGGGCGCGTGCGTTCATCGATGCTGGCCCGAGCGGACAGGCGCGGAGCGGCATCCTGGATGGCGTGGCCGGCAGGGCGGTCGGAACGGCCTTGCGAGCGCCACCGGGGTCGGTAGAAGACGAGCCGGGGTGAGGGGAGCGCGCAAAGCGAGCTGACGTCGCTGGAGGCACGGCAATCGGCGACCATGCGAGAGGGTCGGAGCTGAGAGGGTCTATGCTGTGTCAGCAATCAGTGGAACGGCACCGGAAAGCCAGACGAACGGTGCCCTAGAAGAGCAGGTCGCCCGGCGGACCAAGGGTCGAGTTGAGAAAAGCACGCCAACAGGACAGCGGCCGGCTTGCGGCCGTAGAGGTGAAGGTAACGAAAGCGGCGTCACGACTGCCGTCCGCGTCGCAATCCCGGCGCCACCAGACGAGATGTGATCGTCCGGACCGAGCTGGTGACATGGGACTGCTCAAGTCGGCTGCGGGCCGCGCTGGCGCACCGCCCGGAGGAGAAGTAAAGGGCCAGAGGCGAAGCCGCAAAGTCATGGCGGCGCATCTCTGCTCTCCCGACACTGGCGCGCGAGAGTCGCGTGGAGCATGACTGAAGAGGACGCACTCAGCTGAGGCGCCGGCCGAGGAGGTCAGGGGGGCCCGAGAGTCGGGGACGCGGCGCCGCGAAAACGCGCGTGCCGGCCCAGCAGCCGGTAAGTAGGCCACGGCGGCAGTCGAACGAGGACGAGGAGCGGGGTGCCGGGCACCGTCGACGGCATTCGCGACCGTGATCGTCGATGGCACCCGCGTCCGGAGGGCTTCGAAAGAGCGATGGAGACGGGGGTCGACGGAGCGCGGAGGCCTGAATATGATCGAGATCGGAACTGACGAGAAGAGACCGTGGAAGACCATCGCATCCGAAATGAGGGCTGGACCACCCGGAGTGTAGACCAGAGCCAGATGAGGCGACGAAAGGATATCAGGGGTTGGAGGAGTGTCTGTGGCAACAGTGTAACAGCAGGACTCAGGACGGTGAGAACGGAGGACGATTTGCGCGTAAACGATCGCAACACTGTGATACATGGCGTTGCGCGACGACAGACACAGATCAGACGAGTTGCGACGAGAAGGGAAATCGAGAGCGTGAAAATAGAAAAAAAGATCGAGACGGCTACCCTGAGAAACTAAGTTTGTCAGAACTGAGACACAGATGCGTGGGGCTGACGCACCGAGAGAGAGTCGAGACGATGAGCGAGAGGGGAGCGAGCGAACGAGAGGCTTGTGCACATAGCAGTTTTTAATATTATTTCTCGTCCTAGAAGCCAATATAGATGATAAAAATTGACCGAGACCGCAAACTGTTTCGGAAAACAGTCGCGGATCTCCCTCACGATTTCAGTACAGGAGAGCGCGAGGGGGAGCGGTGCATAACTCCACCTCTGATAGTAATCGATTCAATAATTGTGATTAATAATAATTATTCAAATTGCTCAATTGAAGTTGCACGAGGCGCAGCCCCGCGAGGAGTGATGTAACATCGTCGTGGCAAGTGCTAGAGCGCCTGAGACGAGATAGGTCATGACAACGCGAGAATATTGTAGTGTATAGCGATATTGTTAAAGAGCGATGCGCTGTAAGAGCGGTCTATACATATCCTGAGCTGTGGAGAAGAGGAGAAACTGAAGTCATGTATTTCGCTATACGCGAGGATATATGTTTGTCCAGGAGGATCAGAGGCAAGTTGAATAGCGTCGGTCGAGAGAGGCACAACGGCAGATCGTCGGTAAGTAGAGAATCCTTCAACGGTGTGCGCTGAGAGGATAGGGGATGGCAGCTGGCAGCGAGGGCAGCCAGATAAGACGCAAGACACGCGCTGTAGGACTGCACACCTGCAAACAGCAGTTCGCAGTGAAAGCACGGGAACAGGCGAGTGGAGTTCATGTGAAAGATGCTGGTAGCCACCAACCGTGGTTCAAGCACGCGAGGTAGCAACAGACCCAACAGTGAAATAGGAGGCTCAACCAGGTCTTACGGGGGCATAAATATATCTTTACGTTTTGTTTTTTTGGCTTTTACGTTAACCTCATCCAACACCGGCCAATAAAACCAAACAAACGACGATCATCGCGCCGGAACCGCTCTTACCATTCACGCGGAATAGGATGGCAGTCGACATCTGGCCCCCAGCAGCCTCGACACACAAGCACAGCTGAGACGAGACGTCATGTAGGCGACGGAGGGTTCACGTGTCACTCTCCGAGGTCGTAGATCGCTCTCAGATTCGTTGCTCGAGTGCTCCGACGGGGGGAGGGGACGGCGGCGCGCTATGGGGAGGACTCGAGCCGGAGGCATCTGAGGCAGGAGCTCTCAGCTGGCTGCTGTAGGGGGGACGGTCGCGTCGCCAGACGCGGGGCCGCGCGACCGACTCGCCACCTAACGAGCAAAGACAGCAGCGATTGACAAACTGATCTGGCTGACAACAGATAGATAGATCAATGGCCAGACTAAGCAGAGACAGACTGCAATAGGCACCAAGTGGCCTGAGTGTGTGTGTGTTGGGTCATGTTGCGGCATAAGGCCAGCATGTGTGCGTAGCATGCGTGCGTGCACATACATATTGCAATATCCCATGAGTGTAAGAGTGAATGTGCATGTGTGCGTGTACGTGCGTGTGCGAGTACGAGTGTGCGTGCGAGAGAGCGATGAATTCAGCTAGATGAAGAAACTTGTAGATAAATATACATATTTACATATATAATATATATGGTATACCACTGATCGTGTTTTGCTACTGTGCAGCCATAACTACACTTCTTCAGGTCCGACATACCTGTCGTTGTTGTTGTTGTTGTTGTTGTTGTTGCTGCTGCTGCTGCTGCTGCTGCTGCTGGGACACAATACCAGCTGCTACAGCAGGGTTCGACTGCACCCATCCCAGAACATCTGCATTCTCACTGTTCTCCTGCAGCAGATGATTGCTGTCCAGCACCCTGTGACAATAAATCCAGCCGATATCATGCTCAGCCATTGACAATAACACCAGCAGTGACAGTTACAACACATAGTGCCATAATTCAAATGAAAGTTAGTCAAGGCGTCACACGTGTAGAGCATACGAAACAATACACAGTGGCATCATATTTCGTCAACCAGGCGCCAGCAGTGCCAACGGATAACCTGCAGGAACAACCTTGTTCGATATACGTTACAAGCTTATACGTATCAAACAATATGCGATGGCATCGGGTTTCGGCAACCTCACTAAGAACTTTGTGTCAGAAAACAGGTGGGGTTGCAAGGCGCCGTCATGTCGGTGCGAGTGCGAGTGCTTACTCTTTTATGGAGCGGCGTAACCTGTTGACAGCACCCTTCGTCAGACCAATGTCCTTGATCAACTGTTCGTCACTCATGCTGTTCAACTGCAAGGCAGAACACAGATATCTAGCAGCGACATTATGTATATAAAATCCCATCGCCTTACAACAACACCTCCTTACTATGCTACTCTGCTTCTATACTAGATACTACACCAGAGTTCCACAAATAAGGGCAGCAAGCAGCAGTTTTGCTGCCTACAATGGTTAGTTTGCTGCCTGCTCTCAATGTTGGGAGCAAATACTTGCTGCCAAGCACCCAAGATTCAGCCTGCATGAGTAGATTTGCCACCTGCCTTTTCCCCAAGCAGCTAGTACATGCCTGGTAAAAATGTGAATTTCTAACCCTGTCTACTATAATACAGTACACAATCCATTATCCGAAATTCTGAAAACCGAAAAGCTCCGAAAACCGAAAGTTTTTTCGTGGCGGTCGTCTGCACACCAAAGCTCGCGTTAGGCTGCACAAAGTTCACTGCAGAAATATTAATGTGTTTGGCATTAGTCATACATATTGTACTGTACTGGTACAGCACTTGGCCACTTGAAAACTTGGGTTTTAGTACTGACTAGTTGCAGGATATACGGTATGTATATCTGTACTGTACTACCATTCCGAAATCCGAAAATTCCCAAATTCTGAAACGTGTCTTGTCCCAAGGGTTTCAGTTAATAGATTGCGTACACTATATTAGCATATGGTTACCACCATTGACACAAAATTATAAATCTCATCTTTATTGCCTATTAGATAGACACCTAAAGGCATCAGTCACTGTTTATCTGAATTACTGAGCACTTTTTGGTGCTAACCATAGGCATATATACGATAACTAAATTACATACTTGTCATTTGTCATTTACAAAAGATCATTACATGACAAATTACATTCATGGTTACATCGGCTAAGCCTGACATCACGCCATTACGCGACAAATCTGCATAACAGCTATGTGATATAATTGTACGACAACACATTATGGCATCAGTCAGCCGTTGAATCCAGTAGTGACAGATAGCTCTCGCACCTGGTCGTAGCTCAAGTTCTTCAACTTGTCAAAGTACTTGTGCAACCTCTCCTTCTTCAGCCACTCGTTAGTGACGCGGGGCACGTCCCACGGCGCCGCGGTACCCCTCACGTTAGATGGCAGCACGTATGGCGACGACAACGGTGACGGCAGCAGTGACATGTGTGATGATGGCGATAGATGGCCGGTTGTATATGCATGTCTGCAACACGCACAGCATCCTCAGAACAGAATCACCACTTGCTAACATTTGCCAAGCTGTGGCGATATGAATGCGACTGGTGGGTATTTCATATAATAAATCGTAATAACATGCAAATGTTTTATATTAACAATTACAGAAACCATGTGGTTTTACTAGGATATGCTGCGCTTGGTCTCAATAAATAATACACAATCTCCGCAGTAACTGCATCGTATTTACAGCACCATATGACAAACACATGTGCAGTGTATAAATATACTAAAAAACACACCCTGAACATCAGAATCTAAATGTACACCGTAGTTATAAGCATGACCTATGAAACACAATACAGTCCAGTATTACACAATCATGCAATATTATGATGCATGGAGACGTGTTTTAGATCAGCACATTGCAGTAATGCACGTGCACCATTATTATGCATGTAGACAGGTTTTAGATCAGCATAGCGCAGTATTGCACGTGCAATATTATTATGCATGTAGACAGGTTTTAGATCAGCATAGCGCAGTATTGCACGTGCAATATTATTATGCATGTAGACAGGTTTTAGATCAGCATAGCGCAGTATTGCACGTGCAATATTATTATGCATGTAGACAGGTTTTAGATCAGCATAGCACAATATTGCACGTGCAATATTATTATGCATGTAGACAGGTTTTAGATCAGCATAGCACAATATTGCACGTGCAATATCACGACGTATGTA